TTTGCAATCCGCTTGTCTATCTCTTGGTATTCGCTTAGCACTGCGGTCGGGCAACATACATCGAAATGCAAAAGGGCGAACAGTGGCAAAAAAGAAGAAGAGGAAATAACGATGCAGATGCGCTGAGTGATTTTTTTGAGAGCACTTCAGAGTCGAGGCGAATCTACATTTTCAAAGCTTAAGTTGAAAACACATAAAGAAAGCACACTTTAGCATTGGCTAAGTGCTGCTCATCCTTTCAACAGCACCAAAGTGCCGGGCTGCGAACAAAGTGACAAGCAAAGATCTGAAAGCTGCTGCCGCTTCTGGTTCTGTTGCTGCTTTTACTGAGCGAAAAAGGAAAACAAAGCAAAAGATGTTTAACGAAAAATAAATATTCGCATGTATACATTGTAAACAAATACCAAACACAACGAAGACTATATAACGACAACGACGATATTGTGTACAGGGGCAAAGATGAGTAATTGTTTCCTGTTTTCATCCTACGACAACAACAACAGCAACCGTTTGTAATATGTGCGAAGTAAGAATATGTGCATGACTCAAGCACCCATGAAAGCGGATCAAAATGTGGTTTAGAAGTTGCTTATGTCATAGGGGAGAGAGTAACTTCACTGCATCGTTGATATTAATTTTTTATTTTTGCTTTAAAGAACTTCCAAACAATAACAGTGACGGTGAACAAAAACAACAACGACAGACAAAAAAAAGGAAGTAAAAATGTGAACCGAAAAATGTGAACGAAACCAGATGAACAATTTGTATGATTGAGGTCGAAAAGCACGCTCATCTACCCACTCCGATCTCTCTCACTCAATAAGCATGCATTTCATTTTTCTACTACACACAACACGACGAATAGCAAACGCGTCCCGGAGTAAATATACGTTACGATAATGATACTTAATATAAAATAATAGATAAATAAATCGAATAAATTAAGGATAATGTTCAAACAAAATCCTAGATCGACGGATAGCGATGAAAATAAGCGAACGTTTCCAACATATAATTTATGGAATGTTGTTCTTTTTTTTCGCTTTACTCGAGAAAACGGAACGAACGGATGATATGTTGTTTGTTGCCATTTTCGTGCAATTTCATTTCATCAAAAAGATGATAACACGATTGGTTGGTATTTTCGGTTGTCGAAGCGCTTCCAGTACACATTTGGCTGTTTGTAATCATGGTGTGTATGCGAAGGATTCGATAATTTTTTTTATGAGGGTTGTTTCAAAACAGTGTTCTCACTAGATATACATTACGTTGCTGTCGATCTTCATAAAAACCTGAATTGAACAGAAACCAATAAAAAGCACATAAAATATTTATTTTCCATTTTTCTATAAAAGAGTCTTCCATAAAATCGGTCGGTTGTTGTTGTTGTTGTTCACTCCATTTCATTCGGTTCACTTTACTCGAGCATTTTTATTACCGTAGTTAATTCCATGGCTGTTGTGCGTGAACGATTGAGCGATTTGGCACCTGTATTTTTCGGTACACAGTACACACTCAGTCATCCACTCTGGCACTCAATTTCCTTGCTCTCGTCGAAATGATTGATACAGAGTCGGTACAGTGTACGAGTGAAATGGTGATCTGTCAAATGATGTATGTGTAACGCAGTCGAATATAGCATTGGTTAAGGTGTGCTGCTCTGGTTTCATTTATACCCATCAATCTGCACCATGAATAATAATTGGTGGCATGCTTTTACTTGTGATTCAAGACATTTTCGCTTTGTTTTCGAAGTTTTTTTCCCTTTTTCTCTCACTCTCTCTCGCGTCGTTTTTTTTGTTGTTACACAAATTGCGCATTCTTTTAACGTAATTAAGGTTGGCAAAAACTTTTTCATCCACCGCATCAAGTAATTCAGTTTGGGTTGGTTTGTTTTACGAGTGGAAGTGGAAAAAAGACCAAACTTCTCCGACGAAAAAAAGGGAGACGACGACAAACAATCGTTATAGATCAATGTCAGCATGGCATTGCATTTAAAGTTATTTCTTATTTGAAATGGGCTGTCACAAAACAAAGAGAGAAATAGACAAATGCAGGGGAAGGATGAGAGTTAGATAGAAAAAGGGAGAACGGGATGTGGCAAAGGGACCGGATGCGTGCAAGATACATTCTAATCCCAATAAATGTGTATGTGTGTTCAAGACTCGTTTACTGTTGTTGATGCTTTCCAGTTTGATGGAATCAAATGGATTTTTTTTCTCGTTTTGTTTATGTTTTCGGTTCGCCAAGCGCATCACCATCACACTACCACCACCATGAACATCATCACAAACAGCCATAACCATTTTAATATTATACCAGAAGGGGTTGAACAACATATCAACCAGTAAGTCGGCTGTGAACATGACATTTGCATAAATTTTCATTTTGAAGATCTTATGTATATTTATGCCGTTTCAGTTCGATATACCATTTATACACTGCCACACATTTATTGGCAGCAAATGCAGTAGAGAGCTTTCGCTTTGTTCACACAAGGCTGAAATATTGGGCTGTGCGTATGTATGTATGGGTACGTGTGTGCATTCTGAGTATTATAATCATTCCGAAGATGGACAAAATGAACACAATGCCTTGGAAAGCTCTACAACAACATTATAAATAATCCAATTCGTAGCCATTATTTAATTTCGTTCATATCTTCACTGTGTATATAATAATACCATAGATTTGCGATTTGATACCTCGCATCCGAAATTCATTTGCTTCTGTCTTTCTCTCTCTTCCACTGTATGTCTCGCTCTCCCGCATACTCGTTGGTTTTGATATTTTTCCGATAATTCATGGTGTATTGTGTAACTTCTTCGCCGAATCGTGTATTCATTTATGCTTAGGCCGCGTGCTCGTTTCACTGCGAACTTCATTTTGGTGCGAACCGTTTTTTTCCCTTCTGTTTATTTTCTCGGTCTATAGAATATTGGTATTGTTCTTCGTTTCGGATTATTGGCATTATTTAGCCAATTTGGCAAATCTACGGCGAATCCAACGAGAAAAGGCTTTACAAACAAAAATAAACAAACAAAGAAATCCGTAAACAAGTAATAATTTAACCAATGTGAATGCCAAAGGATTTAATTTTGGCTCTTTTTCCCACCACCACCACCATCGACCCATACGCTTCGTCTACGTCTTCGTCACCGAATAGTTTTAAATGGTCCTCCTTATGGCTAGTAAATACATTAGGCTTTAGAAAACTTATACGCAACGAAGTTGAACAAGGGTCTCTAACTATTGCTTAAAATCCAACCAACCCAAAAGCGAAGGCAAAATTACAAAGAGAAACATTCCAAACAAAAAACGTTTTGCCAGGCACAAAATGTTCACCAACATTTTTGCCATGTTCTAAGTAGTTGTTTTAGCTTTGTTCCGATTTTCGAAGAAAAACAAAAGGAAAACAAACAGTAATCGAACCGTTTATGTTTTTCAAAGATGTTTTTGCTGTCGTTGTTGTTGCACACAGTCAAACGTTGTTTTTCTTCGTAAAGATAAATGCGATGAAAACATGAAACACAACGGTTGCAGCAACTCTCGTACAATCAATTCGTCAAATGTATCGGATATTACAGTTTATACTCTTCAAACACTCTCACACGAAATTAGAGCTTAACTTAGCTAATTTCATGGCAACTTATAGTCTTGTAGCGTGAAATGTGTCACATTAAAAAGCTATATATATTCACTCAGCTCGAATAGACTGTTGAATGCAAAAACCGCATTCGCGCCCAACACTTGAATCAGAAGAGCCTTTGCGTTCCCGTCTCTTAAATGCTCTGAGGCATTTCCATGGAGAGCGACGCAGAGAGGGACACTGCGTCGCTCTCCATGGAAATGCCACAGAGCATATCTCGCGTTAGAGAAACAGGGGGATGAGGCACATAATGCGATTTATATTAGGATTGGCGAGCCAAAATGAAAAAGTGAATGATTTACTTTAATCGAAAATCGATTAACAATTTATCAAAATCAAATCACACTGATGAGCGCATTGGGATGAGCACGTCTTGTCACCAGCAACACGTTAACGATTTATGTTGAGCAACTTGTTATTTCTCGTTCGTTCGATCACTTCTTTTTCCTTCTATTCATTCGGTTGATTCAGATATTCCAATCCATTCAACCATCATCATTAAACTCGGCTATCGTTCCTCTTCTCTCTCTCTCTCTTTCGCTTCGCGACGAGGCTCGCGTTTGGGGAAAACTTTGATTTAAAGCTGTGCGACCGTTGCTATTTCAACTTTTCTTCTCTTGATCGAATTTATATGCTGAGCGAATTTCCGTTGTTTGAATTGGAAAGCGGCAATTGGTCCATTTTCACATTCTGTCTTGGCTAGCATGAGGCAATGGGATCGCGGCGAACAACAAAATGTGAATAACAAAAAGAGAGCCGGAGAGGCAGAGGAGCGGAGAGAAACACAAAAAGGGAGAAGAGAAAGAGAAAACGAACCAACAGATGAATGTTTGATTGAATTTGTGTGTGCGAAACGCGTGTATATTAACATTCATCGTATTCTAAAACGTTTCATCAAAAAATAAATACGTTGCGTTCACTCATTCTCTACTTGACAGAAAAACCCAGCTCATTTATCTACTTCAAGTTGTGTTTTTTGCTCCATCGCATGATATTTTTTTCCCTTTGCCATTTGGTTCTGTTTTGAACGTGAGGGAGTTGGAAAGCTTTAGTCATTGGTATAATCTCGGAGTGATTGCACGAGCTAGGCATTGTGGAACTTGTTGTTATGCCTCGATGTTCGAGAGTGTATTTTGTGCGTGTGGATTGATTATGAAGCGTTTAGAGTTGGATGCTGGCCGGGTTCGTGCAAGCATTTTGGAATGCTTTCACCGTAAATTGCACGAAAAAGAAAAATCACATTTCAAAACAAGATAATAAATATCTACCTTTTTCACGGTGCGTACATTAAATATCTCTCGACTCATTTTCTTTCTTTTTTCTCTCTCTCTCTCTTTCATTTCGAATATAGGCAAATTCTCGCTAATGAAATCGAGCATGAAAATAGAACATCACAGTGGACAATTGAGGCTAAATGACGGCAGACGCAATTGAAGCAACAACAAAAAAAAAGAGATGAGAAGAAAAAACACAATCACCAGTCCAGCACAGCACAGTGAATGTACACATTGAATATAATTACGCCAAATGTTGTGCAATTCGAGCAGCTGAATATTATCCTCTAAACGACTCTGGACTATCCATCGGCCAAATGTGATGAGGCTAAAGCAGCGAGCGAGCGAACGAGAGAGACATTTGACGAATGATGCGATATATATAAAATAAAATTACCAACTATAAATTGCACAACAACACTCAGTCAAAGTGATGCTCAGCATAATTCTCTCGCGCACAGTCCAAGGGCAATAAAAAAAAACGGAACACACTCAGACACACACAACGACACCGAAACCAAACCCGACAAAATGAAATATTCTGCCCTGGAAACTTATCCATCGTGTTTTCTTCACCGTTTTGAATTTGACGTGATGTTCAGCTGAAAAACGTCGTTGCCAGTTGAGAAAATTGTCAAAACAAAGCAACAACAAAAAACTCTGCCCAAACAGAAGACGACCAAACAAACACACAGAAGAAGAGAAAAAAAACAATAACCGAAAACAACACCGTGAATTGTGAATTGCATGAAATGTGGAATGTGTTTTCATCAGCGAAGCAAAAGTGGATGATTTGTTATGAAATGTGTTGTGTAGAAAACGTGCACGTTGTGTTTGAGTGGGAGCAATAGAACGAGTGTTTTGTCTCTCATTTCATTGCGCGCTCGAAGAAAAAACAACAACAAGATCTTCGAATACGAAAAAGCATTTAACAAAAGTTGTACAGAGAAGAGAAAAAAAAAGTATTTGCAAAACTTTTGAAACCAAAGTGAAATAAATGTTAAACCAATAGAAAGAATACGAATACACGCGAGCGCTTATCGCGCGACACAAATGATGGAAATGAGCATACATTAAACAGAAAAAAAAATTGCACGAGATAATAAATAAACGGGAAAAAAAAGTTTTGATATTTTGCCGTCTCTGTTTGTCATTTGATTTGTGTCAGTTCTCACGGCGAGCACAAAGATAAAGAAAAAAAAGATCCGAAAAGAAATACCAAGAATATTAATAACGTCAAGTGAAACGCAACAACATTCGCAACGGAAAACTGAGAAACAAGGACACCGAATTCGAACCAAGTGAAAACAAAGTTTTTGATATCAAAGTTATATGTATGAAATGATAAGGAAAAGCGAAGCATTTGTGTTCCACAAGAAGTAATCAAGTAGCCAAAAAACAAACGAACGAGCGAGCAAGCATTGAGACGCAACGGGGGCATAAAAAACAGGACAACGTACACAGGCAATGCCATTTGCCCGCCATCTATAAAATATCCAAACACAAAAACAACGAGGACAGAAGAAGAGCAACAGCAGTGATATACAGTGACAGCAATTTTACGGAAACTAATACAAAATGTAAGAGAGCGAAAAAAAAGCATTGAATCTTTGTTTGAAATTGATGCCCGTTTGAGGACAACCAACGCCTGAACACACACAACCTCCACTGGATCATGTTGGCTGCCACATTATTTGTTTCGGTGACGTTGATGAATCAAATGCCGAGCATTTTATAAGCAATATGTATGGAAACATTCAACATTTATGGTAATTTACGCTGGCTCGTATCATCTATCAAACACAATGGATGGAGAAAATCGCATAATTTTGAACGTCGGCGGAGTCAGGTATGTACTGTTTCATGATAAAATATGTGTGTGTGCGTTGTATGTCTTTATCTCCCTGAAGAGTCAAAAAGTATTTCATATTCTCAATGATGTGATATGTATGCGTGTGGCGAATGCGTTTTACTGAGTGTGTGTGTGTCGTTATCATTTTCGTCGTTGTTATTGTTGTGCGAAATTTATGGCACATAACGAACGCATTGCGAGAAGATTGTTTTTAATTTTAAACGAACTTTGAATACTTTCGACGATATTTGTGAATATGGTTGTGCAAGAATATTTGTGAAAATTAGTCAAATAGCATCTCTTTTAAGCAATAGATACAACAGTAGCAGCTGGAGCCGGATGCTATTTTTGGTTGTAGTGAAAACCTCTCAAATGATTTGTCGAACGAATGATGCGAATGTGAATAGTATGAATTTTAACAAATTGCCATATCAACTCTCGGCAAAAGCGCACCAGCCAAACGATGGTGAAACATTCCATTGAAGTAGTAGTAAAAGCTGACGGAAATCCAGGCCAAACCACACAAAAACGAACCAAAACTACACCCGCAACACATAACAAACAAAAAATAACAATATAAATAAACGGGAGAGCGGAATGAACGAGTGAGCGCGCGCTAAGCAAATGGTAGCGCCTGTACAACGAGTTGGCAAACGTACAAAATAAACATCACACAAATATTTATTCAAATTAAAATATGTTTGAATGGGTATTAAATTGGTTGGCTCTGTTCGAGAGAGAGAGAGAGAGAGAGAGAGAGAGAGAGAGAGAGAGAGAGAGAGAGAGAGAGAGAGAGTGGGATCTGTCGAACGATGGATTTTTAGAAAAGCACTTCTCCATCTCACTCTTGCTCACTCTCAACTACGCTTATGATGATTTCTACGTAATGCGGACACAAACATTTATGAAATCTGTCAATATGAATGAAAAAAAATTCCACAGAAATCCCAATCCATTTGCATATTGTTTGATTTCCATCCTGTTTATCCCGAAAATTCTGTGTATACGAATGCTGAAGCGCAGTGTGCGAATTTGAGTTTTACAGCTGTATGCGAGCCAACAAACGGCGTTTATATTCCGAGAGAAAAATTTTCATTTTCATATGTAAACGGGAAAGGCGCTCGCGTTAAATATACACCGTAGAATGAATGAATAAATATTCGAGAAATTGAAATGGCTTATAAAATGGCAAGTTTTCGGCATGAACGAACACCATAACAAGCCACAACACAATCGCAGCAGTGAATACACACATGTATATTGTTTGTTTAGGTACTCGCAAAATGTCAACGCAACAGAGAGGTCGGGAGAGAGGGGGTTGTCTCAGATCTGAACTAAAGTTGAAGTGTTAATGATGATTCAATAAAATTTATATAAACTCATCAAAAGCGATGGTAATATAAATGCCATATTTATTTTGGCCGCTCGATGTGTTTCCCTCTCGAGGAGCGTGGTTTGCTGCTTGTCGTTGTGATGATGTTCGGTGCATATTGCATATTCATTCATTTCCGAAAACCGTTTTCGTCCATTTTGAACGTTTTCAACTGAAAACGTTTGCCCAATCCAATCTCGCAGATCCACTTATTGTCTTATCAAAATGCAATTATCTGCTCCAGCATAATATTGTGTGGGAAAACAAGTAGCAGCAAAAACAACACCGAAAAATTGCAGCCATTTAATATAAATACGACAAAATGGCATTATATTCAAAAGAAGAGGGAAGCACACAGAGCGAGTGAGCGAGCGAGAGTGACAGACCCGCATTCATAAAAATAACCCGAAAAATAAATTACATTTACATAACACAGAAATTGTTCTCGATTTGCTGTGTTCGTTTTCCGCTCTTTTCATTTCGCCGTTTTATTTGTTTTTCCAATTTTTCTCGGGCAGCTTTTTTCCTGCTGCTGCTGTTGCTGTTATTGCTGTATATTTATATGGTGTGTGTGTGTATTTAACTCCAATGACGTTATTTCGCTTGTATTCAACTCGATAGTGCTGCGTTTTTTTTTCTGCTTCTTTTTTTTGACAGCATTAAATATTGTATGTAAATTTCGTATTGTGATGGCGTTTTTTCCCTCTCGTCGTTGTATTTACGCAGGTTATGAAAGTTATCGTGAGCACGTGACATACTAAAAAGCGATTCACAATGCAACCTGATAATTTCACTAATTTGTTGGTTTTTACAGCGACGAGGTCACATGCGAAAACGGTTTTTTTTTCTGTGACAACAGTATAAAAATCTATACCGTCGTCAATAGCCAATAACTCAAAATATACAATACATAAATTAATAAATAATAAGCCCGTTCGAAGGAGAAGCAGCTTCGAACAAGCTAGCAGCAATAGCACTTCGATAGAAAAATTCGTCGAAAAATGCTTATGATTTTCTTTTCATCGCTCCAGACTTGTAATTTATTTGCCAAAGCCAGCGAACAAAAATCTATAGCCATGGATACTAAAATACGGCTAAATTGAAAATGCGAGAAAATTAATTGGAACAAATTACTTACACAAACTAAATAAGTGAGTAAATAAACGGAAGCTCACAGGCTCATTCGAGCTTGAATGACAAACAACCGTATGAGAGCGAGCGAACGAAAAGTACGGAGGTGACGCGCGAGGAAAATTGCGTTGCATCAAGAAACAGAGAGGAAAGAAAAATTACACGACAAAGAATGAGCGAGTGAGTGGATTGGAATGAAGGAAACAAGCACACAAGCACACAAGCACAAGCCCGAGCGAGAAAATAAATAATCTTGATATAATGAGAAATACGAATCGTTATAGTCGCACACTGTTGCTACTATTGCTGCCTCGCTAGCTTCAACTGCTATTGTTGTTGGCATTGTTGTTATTGCTACTGTTGCTGCTACTGCTTCTTCGGTTTATTTGCGAAATGGCCATTATGTCTATGGACAACGAAATGCTATGTGACCATGTCGTTGTCGACCCGCTTTCCGTGAGATTTATGGTGAAACAGTTCATTATGAGAATAGCCAACACATATAACTAACGATAAAATTCAGATTTACTTCAACCCGTCTCGTTCACTTCCGTTTTCTGTGGCTTTTCTTTCAGCCGAACGCGCGCGCTCTACGCTCACTCGGTATGTGTTTTTTTTTCTTTGCTTCTTCTTCATTCTTTGCTTCTCCACCCTTCGTCTTTGCATTTTGAGAATGGAAAAAAATTTTCCTTTATTTCTCTTCGGTGCCCTTTTTATATTTTTTTTTGATACACACAAAATGGAGCAAGAAGCTCGCACATACGTACATTTCGAAATGGATTTTGCATATTGAATGCTCAGCAGTTTTTCGGTTGTATATGTTTAGATTGATGGTAACTGGTTGCTCGTTCGTGCAACAATTTCTTTTCCCTTCTCACTTCGTCGTGACTCGGTTTCACACAGTCTCGTGCATTTGCGTTCACATGAATTGAGCCCGATCGTTAGCCAGTCGATGACTCGAGTGTATCTAGGCTGGAGCAAACGTGAGAAAATCGGGTCTTGCAAATATGTGAAGTTTTACTTGATGTTCATCAGATCTTTTGGGTTCCAGTTTAAATTCATTTGAAAACCCCACTGCTCATTCGCTCGCTTTCACACTGACTCAACCGTTCTTAACCATTCTTAACTTACAGCGTGTGTTCAATATGCATGTGCAAGTCCCCCGAAAAAAAGAAGAAGCGACGCAAAACAAATTGAAAAGAAAGGAATCTGTGCATTTTTTTTTCTCTGCTCTCTGTCTCTCCTATCCCCTTTTTTTCATTCGGTAGGCAACGACAGCAGCAATAACATAGATAAAAAAAATGTAAATAGAGTCAACAACATGACGGAACAGTGGAAGAGCCAAGAAGAAGAAAATGTCAAGAAAAAGCGGAAATTTTTGCGCTGATTCCTTTCAGCTGAAGTTTCTGCTGGAGCACGTTTCCGTCACAATATGTTCTATCTTCCCTTTTTCACTCGCTCTGTCTATGGCTCTGCCTCTGACTCTTTCTTTTTCGTTCTGACACGGAGAACCCAAAAGCCATATGAATTCCTAATATGTTGGCATCTGTCTGATACCTCATTTGCCATTCGCATCCGAATGCTTGATTTTTCCAGCTCTATCTTTGGCTGCTGTCAAATGTTGAACGAGCGGGCGAATGCGCGCGCGTGAGAGAGAAAGCGAGCGAATGTGTGCGTTTTTTTCGTCGAGTTACTGCCAAACAACACCAGGGCTTTCTTATTTCATTGAAATACACGCCGTTTCCATACTTAGCCAATTGAATGGGTTTATATTGTTATCCTTTGAGCGTGTGGAATTCTTCTTGTGAATAAAAATAGAAAATGCAAGTGCACACAGTGGCAGCACACAAAGAGCATATACTTCGGTTTCATACAATCAAAGAGAGCTTTCGGCATTTTTTCGACTCTGTCCCACTCTCTTTCTCTCTTGCTGAAAAATTTATTTTCCACAATACGCCTCGTACACAAACCATATGACCTGCTACTGCTACTGCTACTGCTACTGCTGATGGCATTCCATTTTCTCTCTGTTATGTTCTACCGTTCAATAGTATGTGTTTTTTCTCTCTCTCTCTACATTTTCGGCAAATGTCATTTGCCAACGGATTCGAATAGCTTTTTTGTTAACTGAATATTCAGCTGTTTTTTTTGCTTTGTCTCTTTGTCCCGTTGTGACTTGATTAGTGTTTGTTCAATCGCATTGAATTTCACTTTTCGTAACAATTCGATGAAATTACGGCGGTAGTCATTGAAAAAAAATGGCAATGGATGGATGTCATCCATGAATTCAATGCAAATAGAAACGATCTGTGCACTATCACCGCTGTCGCCGCTCACACTTTGAATCTTCGTCGATATGCATACTACGTATTTCGGAAAAAAGTGTCAGCTTTATTCTCTCGTCAGCCCGGGTTAGTGGCTTTGTAAATGTGCAAATGTAAATTTGCATAACACAGATCGTCGTTATTATTTTTAATTGACGTTGAGATGAAGGAAGCAGCAACAGCAGCAAAAAACCAACACACCGCCTTCGTCGCCACAACAGCATCAGCGTTGCGAATGATGACACTGGCAAAGGTGAACAATTTGATTTGGAATTTAATGAAGGGGTATAAAACTGAGAGCAAATTTAAGCACGCACCTCAATACCGCAAAAAATGCAAAAAATTCCTCTCATAATAAGCGCAAGTAAGGCAACCAACCAACCAACCAAGAAGTCAGCGAGCGAGCGTGCAAACGAACAAACGCGCCACGTGCACATGCATTTGTAAAAAGCTTTTTCAGCATTAAATGTTAATAAGCGCAAACGATGAGAATCCGGTTGCACAGAAAACGAGTGAACGAACGAACTAAGAGAGAGAGAGAAAAAAAGAACACACTCACTTGCTGACGGTTTTAAAAAGTAAGAAATTCCTGGAAAATATCATCTGGTTTGAGGTTCGACTACCACTGAATTTTTGAAGTTTCCTTTTCAAAGTTTTTTTTCTCCTTTGCATTTTGATGCAAATGCAATGGTAATGACTAAAACCGGGTTGATGTTATATAAGCTAGTCAGCGAACAACAAAAAAAACCTATTATACGAAAATGTTAATTGGAAGTCGGCTAGGTTTTCGGTGTTGTACATACCGAGAAGCAAAACATATTTATACACTTTTACAGTGTGGAAAAAGGGATGTAGAGAATCGAATGATCCGGAAAAGAATAATAAACAACACATTTTCAGCTTGGTATAATCGAAACATCGGTAAATGAGTGGCTCCCTGTTTTTTCTTCCCTGGGAGAATCTCACTATCCTTCTCTGAAAAATGAAGCCGCGCAAAAATAATACGGTGTAGTCGATGAGAGGATTCACTTGAGTAAGATGCAAAGCTCATTCAATATGGTGATTGTGTATGAAAAGGAGGGAAAAAAGCCCAAAAATGCTTAAGCCTCTACTTGGTGCCGCTGTACGTGAATGTCTCGAGTATTACAGTTAGAGACAGCGAAAGCGAGCCATGGACAACGATTGCTATTCTCTTAGCGTAGTACATCGAGTGAGTGAAGCGAACTGTAGTTCAGCGTATGTGCTGCATAAAAACCAAACGTACATGTTTTCACCGCATAACACCGACTTCCGTTCAAAGCACAATCTACAAAATAATCTCACCTCCTCTCTGCATGTCTCTCTCTCTTTTTCCGCTCTTGTATTCACCGCTTCGTTTTTCCCCTGCCACTACAACTTCTACCCATATCTCGGCTGCGGCGATGTTTATGTTGTTCGGTGGGCTTGTGAGCTACGGCTGATTGTTGTGAACCTTGTTATATGGTTCACAAATATAAAGGTAATTGAATTTTACCTCAATTTTCACATCTCTTTCTCGTTAATACATGGAGCAGAGATGGCGGTTTTTTGTGCAGTTTATTCGTACGACGATGACAACGACGAAATACGCCTCTAAGCATTTCGTTGGAATAATATTTGGTAAAAATATACATATACACATAAAAACACCGAAAAAAAACGGAGGAAAATAACACAACGAAACAGCACAAACCGATATAAATGTGATTTGACTGGCATAAGATGGTTAGCGTTGCGGTTTTTGCTCAGCCATTACTCTTGCTTTTTTTTTCTCTGTGTCGGTTTTACTCTCTCGATCTTCCACTCTCTTGCTGCTCACTTTTCCACACAACAACCACCAAATTCAATCTATACCAGAGCGTGTACATATGATAAAAGCATTTATATTCGCCGTATGTATCTTTGTTCGTGCATAGTTATTGGTGTTTTTATTTTCATTTTTATTACCAATATTTTTCAAGTTTTATTTTATATTCTTCTCCTTGTTCGTTGCTGGTTGTATGTATGTGTGTGACGACACTTGCCGTCGATTTTATGACATTATCTGCTGGAATATTGAATTGGTGTGCCTTTGATGTTTTTCTATGGGTGCGAAAGAAGAAGAGTGAGAGGATGAGAGTGTGGGAGTGAGTAGAAAAGAGAAAGAGAGATAGAAAGCCAGAGGATCAAATGAAAAAGAGAGAAGAACAAATAGCAAAGGGAGAGAAAGAGAGAGAGAGTGAGAGAGAGAGAGTGAGTATGTGTGTCTTTTTGTGATAAAAAGCCAACAAGAGATAGAAAATAAATGAATGTGAAACTGAGTTACTTTATTATGGCAATAAGCGATAAAAACACTATAAACGAACGATATTTATACAGTTGTTTACCATTATATTCGTGACCATATTCATGCTGGCATTTTCATTCTGTCCTTAATTTGCTGTGACATAATGTAATTTTTCTTTCCGATATTCGACACATGAATTGAGAAATAATATTTTTTCGATCGCTTTCCCACAACTACCACATCCCCAACTAATTTGTATCATTACATTGAGATTTTATTGATTGTCTATTTTGGTTCCAATTTTCATTCAACAGGTACGAAACCTACAAAGCCACATTAAAGAAAATCCCAGCAACACGCTTATCACGCCTTACCGAAGCATTAGCTAATTACGATCCAATATTGAATGAATATTTTTTCGATCGGCATCCCATCGTATTCGCACAAATACTCAACTATTATCGAACGGGTAAATTACATTATCCGACCGACGTTTGTGGACCACTATTCGAAGAGGAATTAGATTTTTGGGGACTTGATAGTAATCAGGTTGAGCCATGTTGTTGGAGTACGTACAGCACCCATAGGGACACGCAAGTAAGTCTAATTTATATATGTTTGTACAATGTATATAATATATCCGAATCCGATGGATGTCGAAGTGTGTAATATCGATAAATTTTCATTGAATCACCATAAAATATGTTGTGAGATGAAACCATGTAAAAACCAAAACACCGGTTTTGGACTTTATGCATGAGTGTGTGTACGATGTATGTGTCAATTTCAATCGGGGTCAACGAAATGATCCAATTAAATGAAATGGTGCATTGCAATTTGTAACGCACGGTGTATGGCTGTAACAGCGGAGGAGGAAGCAAAGACAACCAAATCAAAATTAACGCTTACACTGACTGAGCTGGAAGCCAATATTACAACGGAATTAAAAGGGGATTTATGAGGCAATGACAATGGAAGCGATCGGGGTGATGCTCTTCGTTTAATTGCTCAAGTGGCCACCTACTCTTAAATTGAATGGATATTGTTTCAATGAAAAGTATCAATTCACAGCATGACCATGCGACCAAACAACCAACCAACCAACCAAGCCATACACATATTGAATTGATTGCAAAGTGAGCAACAAGAGAGGCAAATGTATAGCTAACACTGAGCTTAATTCAAAACCAATCGCAATTTTGTGCTCAACACTACGCATCGCTGTTTGTTCATGCGATTACATATATGCGAAATGTACATTATGTACAACCGAAAATGATAACACTTTTGTGTGTAACGGATAATAGAGACTCGAGTTCGAAAACGCGATGAATTTGTGATAAGGGCCACTTTCGACATACGCACACCGCATATGCTTGGCCATACTGTAAGAGTGAAAGAGCTCAACTTCTCAAATCCACTCGAACCAGTCGTCGTCATCGTCATCGTCTATTTCCCGCCGCCGGAGCACACACAATGCCATGAATACAATTCCGTTGACCTGATCAAACAGTAAAATTGTTTGCAAAAGATAAATTAAATCGATAAAAAAGTCAAAGAAAAGGTTTTTGCATCCATTTCAGGAATTTCACCACGTTTCATTTTCTACCTACATTGACTTTGTGCGTGTTTTGTTACGAAACAGTGCCTTTCGTTCTAACTTTTTCTCGTTCTCTCAGTGTCAGAATTTCGGTTGTAATACGAACGGTTTTAGCTTGAACTGTAACCATATCTTTCTTTTGTTTCACAAAAAAAAAAAAAAAAAAAATAATATGAGTCCTTTTCAGCAAATTTTATCGTTTCGGGGCGTACGTACCTTTATTAAATTTCAATCGATAATTATTATTTTAAGCGTTTTATTTCGCAGTCAATGGCCGGTTGGCATTTTTTCAATGCAATCAATCGAGTATATGCCTCTTCACCCGAAAAACCTTTTTGCTGTTTACTCTTCGTCTATGGTTTGTGCGTTCCTACACTGTGCATGCCCTGGCCGAAAGCTTTCCTTCCATGCCTACACACACAGACAGCATTATATGAGAGCGCGCTCGTGTAAATGTTAAATATTCATTAGGTTGGTAACCACTTTCCAGTGTGTTGATCAAATTAAAACCGCCGGCTTTCTTTGATGGGCGAAAATTGAACTGAATCTTTTATTATATTCATACTGTACGGAACATTTTCACTTCGACTCGGCTGGCTGTTGCCTCTTCTTTTTTTTCCATTCGGGGGAGGATAATATACGATAACAGCTCTCGACCAATCACCGACTTTTCACCATGGATTTAATTCAATGTATTTTTTTCTCGTTTTTCTCTCTTTTTTTCTCCGTATCCATAGAATACATTAGCAATTTTAGATAAATTAGATTTGGATAACGAGGATGAGCCATCTGAGGAGTCGGTGGCCCGCATGTTTGGTTTCGAAGAGAATCTAATGAACGGTGATTTGTCATATTGGCAACGCACCAAACCAAAAATCTGGGCACTATTTGACGAACCATCTAGCTCAACTGGCGCGAAGGTAAGTGTGTTGTTAGAGCTGGAAGTTGTGATGACGTTGAGTTAGGATTTTTGTTGTGTCGATACGCATTTTATCAATATCACTCGGCTTTGAATTATCTAGAGAATTGAAAGTGTTTCCGAAATCAGGAGACACCTGTTCGTCGCCATCGTCGTCGTTAGCTGGGAAATGGTATATATTCAATTGATTGGATTGGATCGGTACCCTTTTCATGAGTGATTAAACAAATCTCACTTTAGGAGACGGTGCAAACAATGAGGATTACATATTTTACGGCTGAGATCCGAAAATTACACACATTTACATTTGAAAGGCACTTCGTGGCATACAATTTTACCTTTTACTGTTTTTTCTTCGTGTGCCGCTCTCTTTTTTCGGCATTTTCACATTTTCTTTCCCTTGATTCGCCGAAGTACTTTGCATTTTATTTTTATCTCTGTTTATTTCAATATGATCCAAGTTGTCCTTGAGTCGGGTATTGTAAGGGCACTTGGAAATGACTAGATTTTTTTTACCCATAATTTATTAAACATTCTCTATGAAAATCGCAAGAATTCGAAGCATCCACAAAATTATTTTCAAGAGGAGTTCCAACTTTTTCAATGCCTTTGATCTCTTTCAACGCACACGCATACACAACGAAGGGCAAAAAAGCATACGATGGGTGAAAATGAGCCCGTATTACAAGTGCTTTTGAAACGGATTTTTGCCTTTCCGCTCTTGTTTTCACCATTGATGGGGAATATCATGACATTCATTTGATTCGAATTTCCTTTTGTAAATATTTAAAAGTCTTTGATTATTTACCTACGGATGTACAAGACACCGTCGGAATCAACATTGTAACCATTCTGTGTTGTTCAAGATATGGGCGCAAGATTTTTTTTTCAGCAGCGAATACAATCTGAAAAAAACTGCATGGTTGTAGTGCAGAAGAGGGGGAAAAAAAGAGATGCGCTTCAATAACGATGAGCCAAAAAAAAAATCGATCTACTTGTATTTGCTTTGCCTCGGCGAATATCAAACAATTCCTCTTTGTTTCCCAATCAGTTTGATTCAGTTATGATGTTGAAACTTTTCAAAACAGCTTTGCCTCTTTTGTTCTATATTGATTGAGTTTAAATCACAAAGGAGTGATTTTTGCTTCTCGCTCAGTATTTGCTTTTGTATTTTTCACTATTTGAGCGAATGTAGCAACAATGATGCACGCAAAGTGGGACAAACAGAGGGAAAGAAGAGGATGATTCGTCTGCGATGAAGATTTTAATGTCAAAATCTTGTAATGATTTTGTTGAAATTCGTTTTTTGATTCTTAGCCATCGATATTACAGTCGAAAGATAAATAAACACACACACACACACTTCATGCCTAGCTCAATGAACATTTCAAAGAAGTCGATTTCAAACATCTTTTTATTTGTTCTTAATGTGCCAAAACCGCATGTATCAATCGCTATTTTAATCATTCACATTTCCAACGAACCACATTGAATTGATTTTGATCTCTTTTCCTGTTTTTTTTTTTTCTTCTTCTTTCTTTCCATAAATTCGGATTTGCATCGCTATGTTCGTGAACATTTTACGGAATTGGGACAACAGATAATTGCCTGTGCCTCTGTATTATTTATAATGGTATCTGTGATATCTTTTTGCTTAAAAACCCATCCCGGTTTTCGTGTAGAACTGCCACCAGCGTTGAGTGGTGAATTCATCAATAGCAGCCTGAATCATCACAGTCGGAGTCCATATTGTAAGTTAATTACTTGCTGTCAACTGTGTAACGTTAAATATTTGAACAGCACTGACGAGATTGCTTGTTTGTCAAAGGCTGTTACTGTTCTTTGTAATTACGGGACAACATGTAGAGCTTTTTGTGTAAACAATACACACATGGTGTTTAAAACCACCCAGTTTTCAATTCTGTGTTTTTTGTCCTTTCCTTCTATTTTACCGTATTTCGATATAGCATCGACGGCAATGCCAAAAACAACCACGTTCAAATATGTGAGCAGTAAGAGCAGTGGCAGTAGTTTCAGTCCAACATCAACGGAGAACATTGCATCAGCATCAGCATCACCATCATCATTACCATCGCCAACGACGACAATATTTTCTTCATCGACCATACAACAAGAGCGTCCCGAACGAAAGCCGGCCCCGTTCAGTGTGGGCGATCGATCGACATGGCTGGATGCCACCGATAGTCAGCCGCACGAAGCATTTTTTTATGTCGAACTTCTTTGTAATATATGGTTTATCGTTGAATTTACTACAAGATTCCTGGTAATTATTGTTTATGTCAAAAATTCACCTTTTCTCTATCGATCGCTCGTTCGCTGTTTCACTATCACAAAAACACATACACGCATCCATTCCACTTGTATTTGGTCAATGATGCGAACTAAGTTATCCCGGTAAACACGCTCAAAACATTATTTACAAATCGATTTCGATTATATCGCGCACATTGTGCGTCGTTGCTCACATTCTCACATACGAATGGCACACAAATTGTATTGCCGTGGCGATAATATTGACAAACTGATGAAATGTACGTGCCGAATGGAGTGTTATGCATCGGCGGAGACCATTGAAATTGAATGCCTTTTCTGATTATATCTTGAACACTCATTTTTTTTAATTTGACGACACACATTTATTCACTTGGTCTTTCATTTGATCTTTCTCTCTCTCTCTCTTTCTCTTTCTTTTTCAAATGCGCACAGGTTTCACCAAACATGTTGGAGTTTATCAAGTCCCCAGTAAATTTAGTCGATTTAGTGTCAACGTTGAGTTTTTATTTTGAGATAAAACAGCGTTTGGGCGAACAGACTGGTTTATTTGAAGCCTTGTCAATAGTGCGTATATTACGTTTGTTTAAATTAACACGGCATTCGCCCGGGCTGCGCATTCTCATCCATACGTTTAAGGCATCTGCCAAAGAGCTAACGCTGCTAGTGTTCTTCTTGATGCTGGGTATTGTCGTATTTGCCAGTTTAGTTTATTATGCAGAACGATTGCAAGACAATCCAGATAATGAGTTCAAGAGCATACCGCTCGGCTTATGGTGGGCCATTGTAACGATGACTACAGTCGGTTATGGTATGTATAAATGCTGTTTGAATTCATATATATATCTTGTATTTCTGAGTAGAATTTTTATCATACGAAAATGTTCGAAGACGATCTTAAGCCTTGATAGCAGAGAATATTTGGAACGTTATGTTTCACCCACCCTTCGCCAAGTTCTTTTTGTTGTCGAGGCTTAAATTGAGGTGCATAGTTAGTTAATTCGTCTCTAAGAAAACTGATTCAATTTCTCGTTCATATAACAGGTGATATGGCGCCGAAGACGTATATCGGTGAGTATATTGTGTTTAAAAATGAGATAATATTGCGTATTCTATATATTCTATATATATATATATTATAGGGATGTTCGTTGGAGCTCTATGTGCATTAGCCGGTGTGTTGACAATTGCTCTACCCGTGCCAGTCATTGTCAGCAACTTCTCCATGTTCTATTCGCACACGCAGGTAAACAATAAAACAACCAACATTAATTTTGCTCTCTCTCTCTCTCTCTGTGTGTGTGTGTTCTGTTCATTCTTAGTTTCGCCTTTCGGCCTAATTGAATTGTTGCAACACACACATAATTCATGTCGTATGCTTTGCAAACATTTTCTATTCAACAATTCTGAGTTCATAGCTTGAAATGTGTATCATGGTTTGTAACATTTGTGTTTTGTTTGATATTTCGCGGTTTTGCGAAACACATTCCCTTTGTGGCGCACAGGCACGATCAAAACTACCGAAGAAACGTCGACGCGTATTGCCCGTTGAGCAACCGAGACGAAAAACCCGTGAACCACCAGTAGCAAATCGACGAACGAACGCACTCAAGCATCAACATACACATCCTGGTGCACAGTCACATCCATCCGTTTTAAAGGATAGCTTTGGTTCGACAAAAAGTGGCCATGTGAATGGTGTGAATGTGATCGGATTAACACAATCTACAGCATCACCATCTAATCAGCCCATGTCAACGTCAATGTCAACCAAAATGGCCAACATGACTGGCGGCGCCACCAATTTCTCCAATCCATCATCAGCAGGTTTGTGTCTCAGTTCTTTCGTTATCTAACTCTGTGTTTTTCTTTAATTTATTTTTGCCATCAATTTATAATATTCAGTCGTTTGCACTGGAAAAATTCAACAAATTTCGTTTCTATTTGAACACCGTTCAGTGAACATTGAAAAATAAATAAATTCATCCAATGTTGCTTACCATTATTTATTCTGTGTAGGCGAAGGCTTTTCAGCTCAATCATCGTCCGTACAATGTCTAAAGCCACGACCGCCAACCACCTGTAATTTGGAGTATGTTTCACCGAAATCGGTGCTGCTCCAACCGAAGCTATTGAATTCCAATTTAGATGGTAAGTGAAAGAGATTTATTTTCGATACAGCTCACAAGCATCTACCAATTTTTCTGGCGATTTTTTCTTTCCATTCGATATATATAATCGATTATTTATGACCCTGTATCACATACCATGTCTCGTTACAGAGCGCAAAGAATCCAAAGGTAGTATAACCAATTCGGACGAAATAGTCGTAGCAGATACAGCATACACCAATGGCCATGGCACTGCTGCTGGTTCTGCCACTATCGCCATCGTAGCACCACACAAAGTCACCACAGTTTACGAAGAAAACGAAAAAACCGGCGGATCGACCGACGTAAGTGATAAAAGCAAGTAGATTTAAAAACACGAAGAAAAAACCATGATTGTGACAACAGATTTTTTACCATGACTTTTATTAATCTCAATGTTTTCATCATTATTAATGATGGTCAACGACGACGACGACACTCCCGATAGCATCGTCGTCGTCGTCGTCGTCGGCCAAAATCGAAAAATATCCACACAACATAACACACAGACACACTGGATATTTAAATATAGGATCTAGATAAATGATACAGATAACGAAGAAATGCAAATGTAAAAACAACTTGAAATAATAGGTTAGACAATGATGTTTCCATTTATTCTAAACAACACTTGTTTAAATGTCATTTAAGCCGAAAAAAAAGCTTCACTCTTAAACATGGGTCTGTCTCTTGAACGCGCACCCGTGCGTGTGCTCTTCAATCCCCCATTCTAAGGAGATTACAACAGACGTGCCGCACGTCAAATGCCAACATAATATTTCACCTTCGAAAACTAAAAACCAAGATAAAACTTCTCTCGCTGAGACGCTCTTACTCGCCCTCTTTCTGTCTCGTTCATATGGCTGCAAATGATCCCGTTGACGTGAGTTTTTAAGCCAAAAGGTATCACGTCTCATTTGATTCCTCGAAAATTTATCTGATTATAGTTCAAAAGTGAAATTGAATTTTTTCCCATCGTCGTCTTCTTCCTTTTCGTTTCGGTAAATAATTTCGGTCACGCACACCCGAACATCAAATTGAAACCACTCGCTGTGAGAAAAAAAACGAAGGAGCAGTTTTTTTTTCTGGTTTCAAGGAAGAAATCTCTATCGAAAATTGCGAAACTTTGCATATCGTTCAATACATGGATTTACATGCGGTTTTTTTTCTTCAATTTTGCTTTGATTATAAAAACGTACCACCGATATCATTTCATTGTGGCCAATGCGACACAAAAAATTACTTTTCTTACTACTTTATGTGTATCCCCTTGATATAATTGAATTGGACCATGGTTAATCTGTTTTCTTCTCGACTTTTTCCAGATTTGCTTTTGCTTTTTCTATCCTTCTTACTATTTGATTGTTGTAAACTTAGATTGAAATCGAAAACTCAAAAGGTCGAAATTCAATGATTGTGAAAAACTAATGAACTGCAACGATGAGACAGCTTCTGTCAATCGATAAGAAAGAGAGACAGAGAGAATTAAATCGAAGGGAATAAGTGGCATGTCTTAGATGTGAGATGGCACTCATTGTACGTATACTTGTGTTGCACAAAAACCCAAAACCAAAATATAAGCAACAAAAAAAAAAAACCAGAAGTTGTGTATATATATTTTTGGATGTTCGTTGATAAGAGACTTTGAAAAAGCTTGTCACTCTATTTTTGTTCGTTTTTTTTTCTCTAAGCATTTTTTGTTGCGTTTCATTCAAAATAAAAACAAAAATTGATTTAATTGACATTGATCTAAGATCGCATTCAACAAAGCGAATGAAAGAAAAAACTGTTGAATAAATTTTCCAACGAAAGTGTACATAAAATGGAAAGCAAAGCAAAAAATCGAAGCAAACAAATGATATTATAAATAGTATGAGTAAGTTACCGGTACGTATAATGTGTGAGCAAAATTGAAAGCAAATCTAAATCAACACAAGGAAAAGGAATGTTCTGCATCATCTTATATATATATACACCTAACATATACATATATATATTTTTCTTTTTTCAACGGTCGACATTAGAATGTATCAAGTCTCTTCAAAGAAAAATGCACCTATTTCACGACATTTACAGCATAATTCACTTTAGCGCTAATCTTGTGATTTACAATGAAAGATAGAGAGGAGAAAAAAAAGCAACAGCAGAAACTTTTCATTATTCTAGCTCGTTTTTATTATAGTCATATAGGTTCTTTATATAGAGTTAGGTTATCATAGCGAATGAAATAATCCCGATTGGAAAAGATATAGAGATTAAATTTGATGAGGAAAGAAAAAAGCACAAAATAAATCCGATTGAAAGCAATGATATTGCGATAGTGAACCGAAAAGAAATGAATGAAAAAGCCATTAGAGAAAAGCAGAGAAAAAGAGAATATATATCATTTGAAAAAAAAACTTTTATTTTCATGTACACGTAGTATTCGAAGTCTATTGATTTGTTGAATTCTGATTATAAATCCCGTTGAAAAGAGCGATACCAATTTAAAAGTTATAGTGTTACGGAGCAACAATGGGATAAGTTGGAAAATCAGTATCATTTAAATGAAAACTTTTAATGTCTTTATTAAACAAAAATGCTGTTCAAAGTGTTAGTTTTTATCCTTTAGATAATAAATGTGAATTATTCATTAAATGAGAATTAAAAGTTAGATATTAATTGGATATAACAAATAACGATGAACGAAAAGTATAACAAAAGGTAACATACACACCAAATGTGAAGATGTCACAAATGAAAACGTCAACAAAAATGAAAACGTCACATGTTTACTCGCTCAAAATCTCACTAGAACTTTTTTTTTCGGTATGATTTGCATCATAGGTGTTAATCGCTGCACATTAAAAAAAAAAAGAGTCGACCATTTCAGTGTTTCCAATTTCGATCATACTTTTCTCGACATGTAAGTGACTAAATAATCTCAAATCAATGCATATTCTAAAGAAATTGAACAACAACGTTGCGAATTCTCCTTTTTTTATATTTAAATTAAAAAAGCAAACCAAACCAACTAATTTGTTCATATTCGTGTTAATAGGAATAACAAATACTTATATACATTCACACACATACACACACACACTCACAATCTCAACCAAGAAAAAAAAACAACCATAATAAATTACAACTTCAATGTTCACCAAACCAATTTTCACCCATGCAAAACCATACTCTCAATACTTTGCATTCGCATCTTCATATAAACGATTACAATAAATTTTAGAACCAACTAATTTTAGGAGATTCGATTTATATTTACACTTTACTAAAGTAAAAAAGAAAAACAATGAATGGAATGGAAAAGATGATCAACAACAAAAAACAAAAAACAAACAAACACAGAGACAAAGCATCAACATCATCATTATTAATATATCTGTAGTTATTTATTACAATTAAATAGAAATTTTTACTCTTGATAGATTTTAGTCATTTCGAAAACCAACAAAAAAAGAAACAACATCAACCAAGAACAACACAACAAGAAATTAATCTGTATATTCATGTTATTCGATATCCTCCCAAGGATATGGGAAAAGCTCTGCATTTTGCGATATATATTATTATAGTTAAACACTGTTAAAACCGAAAAAGGAATCGAGAGAGAAATAGAAATTGAATTTTCAAATCAACAAATTCGTACATTAAATTCTCTCTATTTACCACCAGAAATGCATAAACCTACTACGAAAAACACATACAATTGCTGACATTCTCTCGCCGCTTAAAAGATAGATATGTTCGATGTGTGAAACTTTGTGAAACTTACAAAATAGTATGTTCTACTCCCGATCAAAGAAACAACGGCAACGGTAGTAACGGCAGCCCGAACAATGTGAAATGAACTGTTACATTGAATGTAACATTCAGGTTCCGTCACTCTCTTTCTCTTGTTCTTCCTCTCTGTTGTGTGCAAACGCATTCTTGATGAAAATTACCTCATTCCATTCGAGGTAAACTGCATCGTATAAACGTCCAAAACTATAATCTCAGCAATACCTAACCAGTGTTCACACCAAACTACCCCGATTATCTTGAAACGTGATTGTTCGAATAAAATTTTGTTCTCTCAGGATTTTATGATGTGCTCGATTCTCGTAAGCGCGCGCCAACCCGCTCGCTCGTTCGTTCGTTCGTTGCCTTGGAATCGTTTAAGCGTTTGTTTACATTTCTCGCACTGAAAACTTTCATCTTAAGATCCATTTTTCATTGAATGATTAACTGGTTTTTATGAGCATTTTGTTGTAACGATGCGAATGCGTTAAGCCAACGCGAAACATTCTTTAATAAAACTGCACTGTTGCATTATGGTTGTTGAAGAAAACCCCAGGACGAGTCTTGATATTTATTGCTATGCAAGAAGAAAATGGTTTTTCATTTTATTACGACACGATATTACAAGGCATCACATTCATCACATAAATAATAACACATTCGAATTAATTGAATGAAATAGCTGCAAGCGTGCTTTTACATTGTTTGCTAAAAATTTATGAGAGAGAGAGAGAGAGAGAGAGAGAGAGAGAGAGAGAGAGAGAAAAAGGGAGCGAAAGCGAGAATTGAACAATATTTCGTTGTTTCATTATTATATACACACACAAACACTTTTCCATTATACTCACACACACAAATCACAGAACAATTCCCCAACCAGATCGCATGAACAAAGAGCACACAACTCTTTTTTAAACCGTGTTAGACATTTTCGAAATTGTTGTCCCTAGCAAAAGTAAAAACAAAAATCCGACAAAAACTATATAGTGTATACATATATTGAATGTTTCACCCCATGCCCAATTCACAGACTCAGTCAGACCCATGGAACCCGTGGTACATTCTCTGCAGAAAAGAAAAACAGAAAATATTTTTACGTAAACGATGCTTCACATAGATATTTGAAGAGTTTGTTGTTTTACTGTGAATAACCATAGAAAATGAGGGAATCCGAAATGAGAATGCACATTGCGTGGACCTAATAAATTTTTACATAAAATAAATATACATATATACCCAGTCAACGTCTGTGTATAAACGTGAATATACTCATATTTACAAGCAAAACCAAACCAAAACAAAAGAAAAAAACAAATAACACAAACAAATGTGAGAGCGATGAAAAAAATTACCGCACGAAAAAAATGTGAGAGCGAACAAGAGAGAGAGAGAGGGAGAGAGTAAGGATGATGTGGCGTGAAACGGAATGTGGGTGCAATATCCACGTCCAAGTTAGACTATTGTGAATTTACTTATACATTACATATTAACATTACTACTTATAAAAAAAAGAGAATATCATTGAATATTGTATTACTTTAAACTATGCATAATTTTAACAATAAAACCGAAAAAAATAAAGAATATTACAAAAAAATGGCAGCAAATGCGTGTTTTTACTTGTCTCGAGTGAGTTTACTTCAGAATTATTTATTCCGTTTTCACATCTGCTAATCGTAATGAATCGAAAGCTTTGTCGTCAAAATGTGATTCTGTGTTGGATTTTTCCATCTCATTCACGCCAAGTGTCGTTGTTAACAAGTAAAAGGACGGAAAAAATAAAGGTACTTTCAGTAAAACACACAAAAAAGCGACGACGATGTCGTTGATGTTTTTTTTTTTTGGAACAAAGCAAATGCAATTATACTGTTCTTCCATCTTGGTATTGGACCCATGCGTCCATCCCAATGTTTATTTTGCATCAAAGGTTATTAACGAACTGGCTTAAATGGTATTGGTCCGAGGGTGATCTTACTGTTCACAAAACAAAGTAAATAATGTAACCAGATAACATTTTCAGTCCGGAAATTCAATGGCTGAAGCGAAAATTAGCGTCAAAACTTTGGAAATTGAATTTAATTGTGTATACTGAATATTGTGTGTGTGTGTGTGCGTTGGTGCTGAACAAAGGAGCGGAGCTTTGAATGGAGCGGAGTTACGGTGGAATAATGCTCATTGTTATTGGCACGTGAAAGGTATAGTATTGAATCGTTTACATTTCAGGACATTTGATGCTTCGAGCCACTCATACTCTCACTCACTCCCTCTCTGTGTGTGCGCATTTCAATATAATTGAATCATTGTTTTCCTTATTTCTATTTCCAAGTCGATGTCTTTCAATGCATTACCCGAATTCTATTCAAACTTCTTTGTCTCTCTCTCTACCTCCCGTTTTTGTCGATTCATTCCCTCCGCCCCAAAAAATTTCGTGTAATATCTTGTCGCATTTCCGAACAAGCGAACAATTGCATTATTATAAATTTATAGCACGGGCTTTTCACATGTAAGACGAGCAGCTACGTTAGTTTTGTCTTTATTTTCCGAATAATACCAATAAAGTAAAATGGAAAAAGATTCAGTGAAGCGAAGGAGCTTAGTAATAGTGCAGCTCAATGCTCAAACCGTCAGATGTACGATTTCAACGATATTTATCAGATGAGACACGATTAAGTGTAAAAAATGAGTTGTAATTAATGTTGAATGTCAAATTGTCAAAGTCAGCACTTAATCTTCATACGTGATAAATGAAAAACCATCGAAAGGTGTAAATTTGCACAATGCCACAATGTTCTCGTTTTCTCTTTTCCATTTTCCCTTGTCTTATGTGCCTCTTATTTCTTTATTTCATTTCGTTTTTCTTGCGTGCCAACACAAATCAGTTTCATTTGAATGAGAATAAAAATTTTATCCGGAATTTCATTGAACGCATTCACTGTACGTGAAATGTTATCTGTAGCTCTGTCATATGAGCCGCATGAGCGTAAACGTGTGTGACTTGGATAAAAATCGCGCCAAACAGAGAGTCGCAGTGAGCGAATGAGAGAGCGTTAGCGGCGGCGGTGGTGACGGTAACGCAACAGCAGTATAAACAACGGCATAGTGTTTTGTTATTTCACAACACGCTGACACATACACACACACACGCGCGCGACGATAGACGCATCGAAGCGAATAGAAAGGGAAACTGCACGTCAAGCGAGTACGATGTATTACCGTCGCATTGGCTTAACGCTCTCACTCACAATACAGAAACAAAAACGGAATAAACGCATACGCGATAGAATGAGAACACGATAGAGCGAGAGCATATACGATAAATGTGCTTGGCTGCTTGTGTATATGACACCACAGAGCAGAGAGCCGCATACGGATTGCGAGCGAGACAGAGCGAATGAGCATGTAAAATTGTTTTAATATCTTATCCATCCAAATAGTAGTCGGCCTTATCGTATAAATAGTAGACTCTTTTTTCGTATTCTTCTCTCTCAGTTTTTTTGTTGGTGTCCAATTAAATTATGTTTTCCAATCCAGCAATTAAATAACAAACACACAATTAATGCTCACATTATCAATGGTTCACAAATCGTTTGTATGATTTTTATTTTTCTATTTCGGTGTGTATATACTGTGTGTGCTAAATGTAAAGAAAGAAAAAAAAATTTCTCGGTGTCGTGTTTTTTTCCCTACGTCTATGCTCAACGAAAGTAAAACAAACGGCCGAAAAAAAATGAAGTAGAAAATAATAAAACAGTTGAACTGATTCTGTTGTTCTTGAGCGCACGTTAAGTGAAAAATCCATTAAATCAATGCGGCAAAACGATCACAAAATATAGTGCAGCAAAGAAAATATCAGCAGAGCCTCAGCAAGAGAGATTATAGCAGAAAAAGAGACGACGACGAGAGAAAAATTACAGCGATTTATAAAGTTTTTTTTTTCGTCCGTTGCAGTGCTCGACGACATCAATGGAAATTTTTTGCGAGCAGTGAATCAGCGAGTGAGTTACTTTTAATTGAAAGCACTAAAAAATCATTTGCACAAACATTAGCATTGATTCGATTTGAGTGGATTGCACAGAGAGAGAGTGAGAGAGAGTGATAAAGATACATGACGAGAAAGAATGAGTGAATGAATTGCTTGGTTGGTGATTGATATGGCATATGTGGTTTTTTGCACTTTAATTCTTGGCGTTTTTGTTGTGTGATTCCACCGATTTTGTTTTATCGCTTTTCAGCGACTGTGACTGATGTAAGCATTTTTTTCGTTCGCTTCGCGGCCCCCGGCTGACAAATGGCACCCGATAAATTGCGCAAAATGTGGCAGCTGTTCGATTTGTTTCAAATCATAAAACACACCAAGCTACAAAACACTTCTTCTTCTTCTTTTTTGAAACCGAATCACAATTCACGGGATGAAGACAGCGTGTGCACACTGAATATTGGAGTCGTGTGTATTATTGAAAGACTAAATTCTTGAATTAAATTAATCGGGGTGGAAGAGAGCGACACGGAGAATAAATCGATAATACTGCTTTGTCATTTAAAATGAGTTGTTCTTTTCCGTTGGTGTGTGTGTGTGTGTGTGGTACTGTTGCTGGTGTTTCAATATCATCACACAGTGTCGCATAGCGTACAAAATACACGATAAAGCATTTTTTTGCGTGTGGTATATGGTTCAATAAACCCCTTTTACTCGGAAATCTGATTCCTGGAAATGAAACTTTACTCCCGTTTACCAGTCTCGTTGTGTTCTGCTTGAATAAATAGTATGTTGTGTCGAGTGGTTCTGCGTTTTTTATCAACCGAGAGAGAGAGATAGACACCGAACCCATAAAGAATACACAATTCCGTAATCACGGGCGAATTTCTGCACCAGAACGAAAGCAAAGCAGAAAAAAAACCTGCATATACACGTACCATATAAACAGGGAACCGAAAACGCGCACACCATACCAGACCATGGCATACAAGAGAGATTGTGTTGCGGCGAAAGAGAGAATACAATGAAAATCGGTGACAAGGACAATGCGAAACTATTGAGTTGTCGTGGCTTTCAATCCAAAAATACGCATGGCGCACCGAAAATTTCAATACTGTACAATAACAACAACCTACGTCTATCCATGTTATCCGTGTGGCGTTTTTGCATTGGATGTGCGGGGTAGAGAAGTGAAAAAGCGAAACGGGGAAGTGAGAGCGAGAGCCGCGCGCGCGACAACGACGACGACGACCGAACACTCACCTAGGCCAATGCATTACGTATCAAAACTATAGCACATTTTCCCAAGTATTTGATACGAGGAAAAAAGACCCCATAGACAATTTCGACACTCACGTTGAGTGTGTGTCGGTTTTGGGTTTTTGTCATGATACGCAACACACACACACACATGCATGGAAATGCGGATTGAAATCACAGTGTGGTTAAATAGAACAGAGAAATCTATGCGAGACTTGTGTCTATGCGCCCGATGGCATTGTACAAATCATTTTGATAAAATAATAGCATGCCATTTGTGCGTACATACATTTTCTGCTAGCATAAAATACACTAACCAATCACTTCTTGATTCCGTGGTTCGTTGCGTACAGAAGAATTGCGCTTGTATCGTCTTTTCTATTTGGCTTCGTGCTTGTTTGATTGTGTTTGTGTGTATGGCCTAATGATAAATCGATTATAAATTGCAATTTCGTGTGGGTTTCCGCAATACGATTTCAAACAAAATGCCTCAAGTTTCTACCACATAATTTCCAAGGTCTATCTTCAATCGAATGGAATGCAGTAAATGAAATTGAACGAAGTAACCAATTAAGAGCGATTTTATGAAATGCTAAATTATTGGACGATTTCATACAAATTCGAGCAATCGGACTGGATTTCGTAGAATTTCGAATAATTGCCCCCTTCTCTCTCTTAATTTGGCTGATAAAATTCGAATCAGTTTTGGTTTCTCGATTTTCGCATTTAAAATGCTCGATTCAATTTAACCTTTGAATCCATTTTAACCATAGTAATTCGAATCGATTGAACCAAAGAAAAGAGACATTTAAGAGACAACTCAAATTACATTTACCGATCAGAAAATCCCGACCGAAACTGAACTCAAATTGAATTTATCAATAGGAAGAACATTCGATAAAAGCAATATTGTAATGGTTTCAGCATTCAATTCGAAACCCAACGAATGCATCGCACAGACAAACATATTCCATTTATGTGACAATTTTCTATTGTTCACCTTTTTACCAAATCAATTTTAATGTGTTGTCTCGTTTCCCTTCGAACGCTATTCTACGCTAGATAGTCAGAACGAGACGATTCAAATAATTGCATTTTCACCACCGAGAATATCTATCTTTATCTATCTGTGTGTGTGTCGTTCGATATACACACAATCAAATCGGCATTTGCACAGCAAGCTTCGATTGAAAGCAAAATGAATGCTGTTTTTCTCATCGATGCTGCCGAACGAAAACGCTACATGTGTTCGCCAAAAGTAAATCGCAACAACCACGAGGTATGACGCGATTCCGATATGAGCGCTTCGTACATACACACAATCGATTCCTTTTGAATGACACAATACCTTAGCACAATGAACGTGAATCACATACATGCCGAACAACAGCAGAGGCAGCGGCAGCAACAACACAAAAAGAAAACCCCGAACGAACGAACCGACGTTTGATAAAAACATTATTTCACGTCCTCACATGTCGAGAGCGGCATGTATATGAATCAATGTGTATGTGTGCGTGTAAGTGAGTGAACGTTTTTTTTGCTATTGCCGCAAAGCCGAGTGTATTTTTAGAGTAACATGTAACAGCACATACGATAAAGGAAGTACATTAAGCAAGCATCGTGATTTCTGCATCGCCTTTACAACAGACAGACAGTGCGCCACGATACATCTGGTGTATTGATGGGCCATATATTATGCTATATATCTATATTCATATACACAAATACATAAAAATCGATTTCATCATGTATATGTAACACACGAGAGAAGAGAGAAAAAAATCATATATCGAAATCGAAAATTGGTGTTATCCATGAGGCATATGAGTAATGCGACACATGAACACTAACAAATGATTTTTCATTCGCTTTAAAATAGCTCGAATGGCTTGGGATCAAACAAAACACACTAACACACACATACATATACGAGCGCGTACACAAAACCCACACGTGCACATGCAAACAATCCATAAGTTGAATTGTGCATGTGTTTTTTTCTTCGTGTTTCTTCTGTTTCGTTCTGTTTGGCGTAGATTTTGGCCTTAGAACCATAGACAATCCGAACTCAGTCAAGATGATAAACAACGAACACCAATGTGTGTGTATGTGATTTGTGTGTCTGTGTGTATGTGCAATATCGTTCTCAGTCCGTTTTTTCTTTCTTTTCTCTTCGGTTGTATTTCTTTAGAAAAAAGGGTACTTTATAGTTTTTGAGTCATACTCTGTCGTACGCATACATTGACACATGCCGATAGCCTAACGAAGTGAGTGCCAATAAAAATCAAAATGAAATCAACGATAAATAACAGTGCACGAAACACGATATGAGCCCAAACAAACACATGCACATGGCACACACACGTTTCGTCTCACTATAGCCGAGCAGCGGCAACAACGACGACAGCGCGCGGCAACAGCGTTTCGAAACCAATACAAATAGATATATGCACAAACCGTATGTAAATACATAGACAACAACAACAAATAAAAGACACTACAAATAAAATTGAAATGAAAAGAACGCGTAAAGCGAGCCAATGCAAAGAAACGAAAAAAAGAACGAAGAAGAAAGAATGAGCGAGAGAGAGAGAGAGCGAGAGAAAAAACAACACACAACTATACACACTACAGAAAAATGCTTTGTATCGACTATCGACGGCGATGACGAAGCGTGAGCGATGAGAGATAGAGAGAGTGAGTGAGAGACGGAAAACGCAAAAAGGGGGACTATACAGTGGCGTAATTATGATTTGGGTTTTTAGTGCTGATAATTTTGTTGAATGAAGAACAACGCGATTTTATTATGAACGTCTTGGTTGTTGTCGTCGTTTCTATTCCACCAAGTAGACTGCGTCGCGCGATTACTCATCACTTGTAATAACAATAATAATAATCGTAGAGAAAAAAAATCCACACACAGAATCAAATCTTCACCATCATCCACACCGCATAAATCTCGCTACAACAAATCACATCATACGCTTTGGAATCGCCTAGCGTTTCTGTTTGTTGTGCTTGCTCACACAGTTTCTGTTCCGTTTTTTTCCCGTGTGCATTTTTATTTCAATATTTTTGGAACTATTTCATTTCTTTTTGAACTGTTTATGTGTTAATCAAATGATAAAGAAAAAAAAGTAAGAAATTCGTTGTAAATAGTCACTGTTGTGTTTCACACCATTATTAGTTTCGTTTTTTTTTGGTTAAATGGATAACAGCGCAGCTACGAGAACAATTTTGAATTGAAAGACAAGGAGAAAAGATTAAAAAAAAAATTGAGCGAATTTCGCAAAGTGAACGATCACCGATATCAAATGATTGAAAAACAAACTGATAACGAAAGAAAAAAAGAAGAATTTAAACGAAGGGGGAAAGGAAAAAAAAACAGCGCTGCTGAACAAAAAACAAAATAATTGAAAAAATTTAATGTGTGATTTATAATTTCTGTTCGTGTATTTATGTGCATCAATTTATTTTCGCATCAACGCATTGTTTTTTTGTGCATTACCATTTGTTGCATCAAACGAAGTATGTGTTTTTATCATTTCAATTATCATATGCAGTGTGTTTTTGTATCTAAAACGTGATATCGCTGGTTGTTAAGAATACGCTCGCGGCATCATCATCATCATCATCATCATCATCATCATCATCATCATCATCATC